GGTGTGTGGTGGGGGAGATAGGAATTTGATTGGAATCTGATGCATTTTAAAGTGAGCTGAGAGTACATTACTGACTGGCCTGTCAGCGACGTTAAGCGAGACAGCGCTTAGGACCGTTAGGAATGACGGCGTATCAGGCTGGGCGAGTCAGGTTCGTGGCGTTTGACGCAGTACCGCGCTCATAGAGTCAGGCTTGCGTCGTTTCAACACAGCGAGACAGATCTAAGTCAGCTATCCGGCATACAGGCATAGGCGTCTATAGCCCGGTGTTGCTTGGGGGGGGGGGGGGCTCAGAGAGGATAGACCTCAAAGCAAAGCATATATATGTATAAATATAAATATAAATATAAATATAAATATAAATATAAATATAAATATATATATATATATATATATATATATATATATATATATATATATATATATATATATATATATATATATATATATAAGAGGAGACAACGACGACATAAATATCAGATTACTGTAAAGGTTGCTATAAACTAATTAATATTAATTGGTAATTAAATGTCATCTAACAAAATATACTCTAATTACATCTCTTCGAGTATCAAGTTGGCGCAAAAAGCTTTGTGAAAGGATTAATATTTCAAAGGTTTGGTTGTGATTTAATTGTAGTATGTTTGGAATTTATGAGAAACAAATGTTTAGAGTCGGGGTGTTTGTTGTAGGTCAGTGGTTCTCAACCTGGGTTTGATCGAACCCTACGGGTTCGGTTATTTAGTCTCAGGGGTTCTGAGAGGTTAAGACACACACCCGACTCATATGACCCACGATCGGATTTTATCAGTACGGACGATATAACTATTAAGAAGGGTTCGGTGAATGCATGTATGCAATTGGTGGGGTTCGGTACATAAAAAAAAGTTAAAAACCAATTATAGACTAATTAAATTTTCTTGTTTAGGATAAGAATTAGAATGTGGGGGCCATGCTCAAAACAAGTACTTACACACTTAGTACGGAAAACAAAAGTGGTACCCCATTTTAATTAGAATTAGAATTACATAACTATTTATATTATTGTAATGAGCAGGGTAGGATATATCTCTTGATGATTATTACAACCAATTGTTTTCGTGACAAAAGCTGCAAGCCTTGCATTTGGATCGAAACTCTCTCCCCCTGTTGGTTTCATCTTTTTGTGACCATTTGATTCAGTCTCAAAATAAAATGAGACCTTTACTTAAAATGATACACCAAAGGATTAGATGACACTAAGTGGGATCATTAAAAAGTTGAAACTATTTTAGTCTAAATTGTTTGGATGTTTGAAGTTGTAAACTATCATCAAGTTTCACTAAGTTAATCTTAATGGAAAGCAAATATTAAGTCTTTTGAAATGAGTGGGATTAATTTTGTAGTAAACAAAGCTAAAAGTAATGTTGACATTTATCATGATCTAGTATTTGATAAACATAATTAAATTAGAGCTGATTTAATCGCGTCGTTTTAATTTCAAAATGTTCGTCGCTTGTCCTAACATTCGACAATTAGGTTTTTTAACTAACCCTAACCTTCAGTACAAGCTACAGTAGTTTCTCTGCCTTTCTCCGTCAACAAACATCATACAGACATCATACAGACATCATACAGACATCATACAGACATCATACAGACATCATACAGACATCATACAGACATCATACAGACATCATACAGACATCATACAGACATCATACAGACATCATACAGACATCATACAGACATCATACAGACATCATACAGACATCATACAGACATCATACAGACATCATACAGACATCATACAGACATCATACAGACATCATACAGACATCATACAGACATCATACAGACATCATACAGACATCATACAGACATCATACAGACATCATACAGACATCATGCAGCCAACATACAGACATCATGCAGCCAACATACAGACATCATGCAGACAACATACAGACATCATGCAGACAACATACAGACATCATGCAGACAACAGACATCATGCAGACAACAGACATCATACAGACATCATACAGACATCATACAGACATCATGCAGCCAACATACAGACATCATGCAGCCAACATACAGACATCATGCAGACAACATACAGACATCATGCAGACAACAGACATCATACAGACATCATACAGACATCATACAGACATCATACAGACATCATACAGACATCATACAGACATCATACAGACATCATACAGACATCATGCAGCCAACATACAGACATCATGCAGCCAACATACAGACATCATGCAGACAACATACAGACATCATGCAGACAACATACAGACATCATGCAGACAACAGACATCATGCAGACAACAGACATCATACAGACATCATACAGACATCATACAGACATCATGCAGCCAACATACAGACATCATGCAGCCAACATACAGACATCATGCAGACAACATACAGACATCATGCAGACAACAGACATCATACAGACATCATACAGACATCATACAGACATCATACAGACATCATACAGACATCATACAGACATCATACAGACATCATACAGACATCATGCAGCCAACATACAGACATCATGCAGCCAACATACAGACATCATGCAGACAACATACAGACATCATGCAGACAACATACAGACATCATGCAGACAACAGACATCATGCAGACAACAGACATCATACAGACATCATACAGACATCATACAGACATCATACAGACATCATACAGACATCAGAGATCATACAGACATCATACAGACATCAGAGATCATACAGACATCATACAGACATCAGAGATCATACAGACATCATACAGACATCAGAGATCATACAGACATCATACAGACATCAGAGATCATACAGACATCATACAGACATCAGAGATCATACAGACATCATACAGACATCAGAGATCATACAGACATCATACAGACATCATTCAGACAACAGACATCATACAAACATCATACAGACATCATACAGACAACAGACATCATACAGACATCATACAGACATCATACAGACAACATACAGACATCATACAGACATCATACAGACATCATACAGACAACATACAGACATCATACAGACATCATACAGACATCATACATCATACAGACATCATACAGACATCATACAGACATCATACAGACATCATACAGACATCATACAGACATCATACAGACATCATACAAGCATCATACAGACAACAGACATCATACAGACATCATACAGACATCATACAGACATCATACAGACATCATACAGACAACATACAGACAACATACATCATACAGACATCATACAGACATCATACAGACAACAGACATCATACAGACATCATACAGACAACATACAGACAACAGACATCATACAGACATCATACAGACATCATACAGACAACAGACATCATAAAGATACAACCCTAATCTCCCCCACCGATACACAACCCGCCAACCCTTGCGATAACAAGCGAACGCCACCCTATAAGCCTTCATCGGAAGTTAAAACGAATCGGATATGAAATCGTGAAGAACCCTCTCTAAAGACGGGCGGATCAACTAGTATCAAACGATTTCCCCAAAGCTGGGAAATGAAGGATTTTTAGGGGGTTAAGAGACTGAAAACTTTCAAGTATTAGCTGTTTAATCTAACAATTTAATTAGCTAAGTTGTGTTGAGGAGGGGTGGATGGGGTACGGGTCTTGGAATATTTTGATTATAGGAGGTCTAAAGGGGTGGTTTAATCAAGATAGGGGGATTATAATCTGATACGTTTAAAGGTAATATCTTAAGGAGTTTGTGGGGTGGGTTTTGTGGGATATGTGAGTGAAAGTGGAAGTGTGTGTGGGGGGGGAGAGGGGAGTTTAAGTTAGAAGAGGTTAAGGGTTATGAATTTGTCAATATGACTATTTTACATCAGCTTTAAAAAAAATACACTCATACGGTATTTGTGGAATGTGAAGTAGAGTTCATGTGTTTCTTTGATAACAGTTGATGAAATACTCTCGTGGTCAGCAATGCGCTCAGTGACCTTAACCTTGGTTACGTTCCAATGAGAGCTGAGTGCTTAAAGGTGAAACCCACTCAAGGAAAATGTAACGTGGGATTCTGATCGCTTGCTTGTTCTATAAGAACAAACTAGCTAGGTGGCATTAAAATAGTGTTTTACAAGTATTGGTACCGTCGCCTGTGTTTCTGAGAATGATTCATGAGCCAATATTTTACGTTATGCACGTTAAAAGTAGTTTAGATTTAGTATCAGTACAAAAGAAAAAAAAACTAGAAATTCCATGAAAATTTATCAGCAAAATAAAAAGTAGTAAAAACAAACACAAATGAGCTCTCACATGAAAACAAAATGTTGGGATTATTCACGAAAGGGAGAAAATATTTGTAAAAACTGTGAACCTTTTAACAATTATAAACTTGATAAACAAGCAATACACGAAACAAAAAATCACGAACGTAAATAAACTGAGCAAACGAAGAATGAGTCACATCTTCAAATTCTCCAAAAGAAAAATAAAACCCGTCGCCAATAAACAAAAATTAGATACCAACAAATGATAAACTATCTAAAGTTAGATACCAACAAATGAAAAACTATCTGCCTACTCTATGGTAAAGAAAAAAATATTTGCTTACTCATTATAAGATATCTACTTACTGATATACAAACATTTTATACTTACAAACGGACAAATATCTACTCAAGTAAATCGCGTCTAGTACACAATACTCAATATTAAATTACATATAGCTAATTAAATTCCATTTGGTCAACAATCAGATGACATCTACTCAACAATAAAATGACATCTACTCAACAATGAATTGACATCTACGGAACAATCAAATGATATATACTGAACAATGGAACGACATCGACTTTTCAATGAAATAACATCTACTCATCAATGAAATTATATAGGCCTATATGGAACAATGAAATGACATCGACTCAAAAATGAAATGACAACTACTCATCAATACAATGACATGTACTCACCAATGAGAATGTTCATCAAAGTTAGAATCCACACGTGTAAAACACCCATCTTCACCGGCGATGTTTATGTTTGATTTGAATGAAACTTCACACAGATTTCAGTGTTGTGACCCCGGCATAGGTGGCGCTACATTCCCCTCCAATATTTACGGGAGTCATTCCCTCTCCCGTCTCATTTAACCTCCTTTCTTCTTTCAGTTCTATTGGCTATACGAACCACGTGACAACTACATCATGCTTCCTGTAATAAAAACAAGAAAATTGTGTTAGAAACAGCTTTTTCGCTTGCACTTTTAAGCACGTTAGTAAAACAGGATTTCAATGACAAACAGAAGACTTAGAAAGACAAACAAGTCCTTCTGGAGACCACGTGGTAGCGACGCCATTAAATGTTTTTAAAAAATCGAGTCTGGGAAAAAAAGAAACGAAATCGATTTATCGTGGATTTAGTGACGTTCCTCCAGTGCTTGGAGAGAATTAATTTTTGCCTCGTGTAGTTGAAGATTAGCTATTTATTTGATGAATGCCGGGCTTTAATTAAATTACGCCGTCGTGATTTAGAAAGATGGCGGGCTGTCGTGTCGGTGGTCGGAGTGTGTACTTGGTGTTAGGGGGATGGGAGGGAGGAGGGATTAGATGTTTGTTGACAAAATGCCTGCGAGTGGATGTGTTGACAACATGCATGTTTTATGTGATAAACTTAAAATACAGGTGAGTTAAGAAAGAAGTGAGAAAGAACAACAATCGCAGAGAAAATGACGGAATCTTTGAATGTAGTTATTTGAATGGGAGAAAATAAAACATGGTTTGGAAGCGACGGTTGGTTTATAGAAACTTACAAGCAGTGAGATAGTAGAAAATACATAGGAAACCGATGAATATTTAATATGGAGCAAAGAAAACTTATCTGGAAATATTTTGTTACAAACGCGAACGAGACACTTTTAAAAGAAACTAGAATCTTGGTGAGGGACTTAAAATTAAAAAACAACATACAAGAAATGGAATGGACTTATTGATATTATGAAAGTTTTTTCTGAACATATTCTAGTTTTTTTTTAATAATCACGTTTAATGTTTGTGCATAGAAATTAAATGTTAAGTATGTTTATGTTAGAAACTGTCTGCTTTTAAAACTTTAGATTGGATTTCTTGACCACCATTACACCATGCTCGCATCTATACCTATAACTCACTCTCTGTCTCACTGTCTCTGTCTCTGTCTCTCTCTCTCTCCCACACTCTCTCTCACACGCACGTACGCATGAATGCACACATACTCATATTCACATATTATTTGTTAATGTGTAGGCCGATCTGTGAGCAGCGACGCAGGCAAGATGTTGTAGACTGGGGTCCACATTAATGTGTGTATGTAATTATAGGAGGACTCTACGTTGTTGTTACCCTATACATGTTTGATTAATATTCACAGACTATTTAAAATGAATATCATCAAGTCTTTGTTGTATATAATTATGGTCGTTTGAAATGTAATAAAGTATACAATACAAAATGACCAGAAACAAGGAGAATCTATTTTAAACCGTAAACCGGATGTAGAATGTGAATAAAGCGAAATGTAAAATGTGAAGCGACAGTAAAACATACTGCTGTAAGATGACAATTTTTTGTAAAAAGAGTGTTCTGTAAAATGTAAGTCAGATGTAAATTCTAAATTTTATCAAAATGTTGAGTGTAAGCGAAAGCTAAAATGTAAGCAAAACGTAAAGTGTAAGCGAAATGTAAAATACAAAAAGAAATATAAAATGTAAGTGAAATGTAAAATGTAAAACGAAATGTAAAGTGAAATGTAAAATGTAAAGGGAAATGTAAAATGTAAAAGCGAAATGTATAAAATGTAAAGCTAAATGTAAAATGTACGCGAAATATAAAGTGTAAGCGAAGTGTAAAGTGTAAGGTGTAAGCAAAATTTAAAAATTAAGCAAAATGTAAAATGTAAGGGAAATATAAAACGTAAAGCGAAATGTAACATATAAAGCGAAATGTAAAATGTAAGCAAAATGTAAAAGATAAGCGAAATATAAAATGTAAGCGAAATGTAAAATGTAAAGCAAAATATAAAATGTAAGCGAAATGTAAAATGTAAAGCAAAATATGTATATAGCTAGTGTAAGCGAAATATAAAGTGTAAGCGAAATGTAAAAGATAAGCAAAATATAAATTGTAAGCAAAATGTAAATTTGAACATGCAGCCGTGACAGACAGAGTGCTCACGGAGCCAGCCATGCGTGAGTGCAATGCACGTGTCGACATTAGAGCGTCTTTGTTTTGACATTTTGATGGATTTTTTTTTACGGGTTGATGGCTTTTCTTAGAGCTAATATCAGCCTCTGGGATGGATGGCTTTTCCCCCGGTTGATTTCTGGCTTTGAGATTAACGGCTTGACACGGGAATGGACCGTCTTATGTTGGCCTACAGCAGTGGTTCTTAACTTGGGTTCGATCGAACCCTAGGCGAGTCAGTCTCGGGGTTCGGCGGAGGTTAAGAGACACACCTGACTCACGGTCAGATTTGGTCATTGCGGACCATAGAACTATTTAGAAGGGTTCGGTAAACGCGCGAAAGAAACTGGTGGGGTTCGGTTCCTCCGAAAAAGTTAAGAACCACTGACTGTGAAGGATTTTTGGTGATTTGATTTATTTTATTTCGATTCTGATAATGTATATGTTGCTGTTTAATTTATTATCCGTGTTGTTGATGTGTTAGGCTTCGTGGGGAATTTTTGGTAAATGCATTTTATTTATTTTATTATTTTATTGGTGTGTTTTTGCCGTTTTCAATATCATGCGAATTGTTTAATTTAAATTTAAATAAATAACACGATGTCCCAATATTGCAAATTTTTGATAAAATTAAGTTGATCTAATCTTAAGTTATGTGGGTTTATTATTTAATTTTTTTATTTGTTATTTATAACATATCGATTATGTATATTTCGTTGCATTAATATTTTGTTTCAGCTGAGGTGGTTTTTACTTTCTCGTATACGGAGTATATAAGGAGCATAGAAGAAGTATTAAAATTGTGCAAAAATTAAAATCGAAATATTGACAAACTATCGCTAACTAACATAGCCTGACTGCGCTGGAAGTACCATCCCTACCTTTTATATTCTATAAGAATATACGATAATGTTAAAGGGAGCTGACGGACGATGTATTTTAACAAGTGTTTATTTAGTTAATTGTAAACTAGATAAAATAAACAGCCTTCTCACTACATCGATTTTGAGATGTAGAGACTCGATTGCAGTGTTTTTTCCAGACTGTTTTTCTCCGGGGGAGCACTTGAAATTCCCGGGGGGTGGACTAAAATTTCCAAATTTCCGGGGGGGGGGGGGTGGGGCAGACGGCGGACACTGTTAAAAGTAAATATTTCCTATATAAATTCCATTTCGTTCGGGGGGGGAGGGGGGGGGGGTAGCGGTAGATTTTCTGGAGGGGGAGGCTGAGGCTCTCCCCCACCCCCCCTGAAGAGATGCATGGAAGAAACTCTGCTCGAATATGAGGCCAAAACTCGAGAGTTCTGGCTGTTACAATTTGACCACAGTGCCACAAATGGTATTGCTAGTTAACCGTGAAGAAACAAGGCTTAACCCTACCCAAACCCTAACCAGCCCTGATCCAAAACTTACCCCAGATAATTCACTTTATCTTGTAGTGTTACAATACAAACAAAAACACGCGCTCAAAAACAAAGAAAGAAATTAGTTTTGATATTCCTTACTTTCGTCGTCCTTACCCCACCCTACACCCGCCTTCCCACCCATCTCCCTCCCCACACTCGTCGTCCTAATCCCCACACCTCCACACAATAGTCGTCCTAATCCCCACACCCGTCGCCCTAATCCCCACACCCGTCGCCCTAATCCCCATACCTACCCACACTCGTCGTCCTACCCCCCACATCTACCCACACTCGTCGTCCTAACCCCCACACCCGTTGCCCTAACCCCCACACCCGTCGCCCTAATCCCCACACCCGTCGTCCTAATCCCCACACCTACCCACACTCGTCGTCCTAACCCCCACACCTCCCCATACTCGTTACGCTAACCACACCTCCCCACACTAGCCCACACTAGTCGTCCATATCCCACCCCACCCATTTCCCTTCCCGACCCCCTCGTTCCCCCAACCTCTCTACCACCGACTGGAGCATGCGTGAAATAGCAATGATTTGATTAGATTGATAAAACTATTTCAACTCACGGAATAATCTTCACCTCGTTACGCTGCGGTCATCAGAGGTCAGCTTGACCCCAAAACAATTCCCCGATTAAATCCCCATCACGCCTGCGTAATGAAGGTGAGACGGGACCTGTCATCCGGTCGAGTGGACTGACCAATCACAGACCACTTTTACGAATACATACGTCATCGTGGATAGACCGCTGGTAATCCAAATAAATTTTTTGTTTTAATTTATCAGACCAGGTGAAGTTGAGAATAGACAGATCTAGCGACGAATTTTAGATAAGAGGGAAATTCGAGTCTCGAGGTACGTACATTAGAGAGATTGTAAAATAATCAGCGCGTTAGGAAAATTTCACAATTTTTAGATGATTGTGAAAGAGGTGTAGATCTACAATAAAATACGTCATCAGCATTAGTGAGTGTAAATTATGCTGAAGTCAAAAGTCAAACATATGATATTTACTATTTTTAAATTGTTTATTTTGTAATAATTTAGTAAAAATAAGTGTATATTGGGTTAATAATAAAGTTGATTTTCGTTTTGATATAAGGTATCCGTAAAACAAAAGAAAACAAAATTAAATCGTGTTCAATCCGAATTTTTAACAAACACCAGAATAACAATAATTAGGGAAAATTATACAAAACAAATATTTCTTACATTTCTTGATCCAGAAGACACTATATTTGTTTTAACAATACAGCTTCAATCGCCAAAAAATATCTAAAATCTATTTTAAAAATATCTCTCTAAGGAGAGAAAGAAATTCAAATTTTCTGTGTTTTTTTAACTTAAGAATTCAAATTCCGAGAACGTTAATATTCAAACTTTTTTATCTTTAGTTCTAAAATTAAAAATATATCTCAGCACAGGAAATCAGAGATATTTATCTTTTGTAATGCTACGCTTTATTTCAACGAGAAAAACTGATCCCATTCCACTACTTCCTTGGCATATTCTATGACGAACAATAGCATTTTTGCCATATATATATATATATATATATATATATATATATA